AGGGACAATTCACCTTGTTTGAAAGCCATGGATTTCACACACTTTACAGGCACATCCTCTTCAAACTGGAAACCCCACCAAGTAAAACAGGCTTGGCTGGAAGTTTCTATCTGTGCCACATTCTGGGTGCCTCTCTAGAACGCTAAGATCCCTCCAAGCAGTTCAAAAAAGTTCCTCTCTCCATATCTTTCCAGACAGCCAGTCACTTGGCTGAAACGTGTATTCAAAGATTTCACAAGTCCAATTTCTACCCATTGAGATAAGCAGTCCAAAAAATTAAGGCGTGGGGGGAGGGGGCATTGAACGAAAGGGTAATAAAGCACTTATTAAAGTTACAATAACATCTCAAAGAGACCCGTCACACTTCTGGAAATGCTTAACCAGGCACAAGTGTGAGAATAGTCGTGGCCCCGGCTGCTGAGGGCAAACACACCTTCATTCCCGGAGCAGGAAGGACAAACAGGAGCCACCAGGAACATTCCCGCCAGCCTCTCGGCAGGGGCACAGGCCCACTGCAGGTCACACTCTTGTGCCCACAACCAAACAAGGCCCGGGAGCTGTGCAAATGCCGCAGGGCAGAGCAGCAAGCCAGGACCCCGCACATTCACAAACGGCACACTCACACTGCACTGATGTACATTCGTACATTACCTGCTAGAGATCTGAAATCAAAGCAACTGAAAAAAAAAGGATGCCCATGCATTCCAGACACTGTGCAATCCTGTATCAAGGCCACAGAAGTCAGCCCTTCTCCCTGCCTCAGCTCTGCATCTGACTGTCTGCCTAGAATGTATAGTATGTGCTCTTTACACCACCACACTCCAAAATCTGCATGTCCTTCCTGTGGAATTCTCTTGGGACACAGTCCCACTAACCACTCATGAGTGACAATGGTTATTTTATTCCACACTGAGGGGTCAGGTTCTGAGGGGCTGGGCGGGGTGGGGAGTTAACAGGTAAGCCAGGGATAAAGAGGTCACATGGCCAAATGAGGCACTTCCAAGTTGGGGCGGAATCCAGAGTACTCAAGACTATTCACCAAGTGCCTGGCGGGCGGCTGAAGGGGCGGAAGCCTCAGTTCCAGAAGACCCACTGCAAGTGCCATCCCCGACCTGCCAGGGAGCCATGGGCGCTCAGAGGCCCGCCGCCCCCCAAAGCCTGAGGTGAGGGCAGCCCTCACTGAGAAGGCCACACAACACTTCTGGGCTGTGCTTCTCCTGGATTCTGGAACAGCTAGAGGCCCGTCGCCCCAGGAACTGTGGGGAGGCTCTGTTGTCGCCAGAAGGTAAGCTCGCACCTGCCGACACCACACACAGTGCACTCTGCAGCTAGACTGGGGTTCCCTGACGTGGCGACTCCAGTGACAGGCGACCTTAAGAACTTCTGGGGCTTGACAGAGAACAGCCAACATTTTATCTTCCAACCAAGAGCATTTTAAAAAAATAAAAATACTGCCCTCTATTAGCACCTTCGTTACATAAAAGTAATTTTATCACCCAAATTAGGAAGGACATTATCTCAGAATAAAATATAAATCTTCAGGTTGAATAAACTTGACTTTGTCAGTTACTTAATACGTGTCCTTATCCTTATGGACCTGCAAGGAGCCCTCTGTGCCAGGGGCCGATGCTGTCGGCCCCCATGACCGTCACTGTCCCGTGAGGTCCCCAAGGTCACAGGCTCTCCCAGCACCATCACCACCTCCAATGCATCCCCACTGGGAGGAAGGACCAGAGTCACACCAGCAGTTTACAGCCACAAGGACCGCTGGGAACAGAGCGCCTTCGCACAGATCCTGTGGGCACGCGCAGCCAGAGGGCTGCGGAAAAGCATGGGAAAGCCCTTCTCTTTAAGACTGAGTTTCCTCAGCTCTGACCTCACTCGCTGCATGTTCTTCCCCTTCTACTTCTGCATGAACGCCTGATTTAAAAACTTGATTCAGAGAAAAAGAAAAGAAGAAAGGATGGCCCTTAAGCCTGAAAACAGAAACAGAGTCAACAACAAAAAACTGCTAATTATCCTCTTTTTAAACTCACCTAACAAGTACATGCCAGAAGCAAGTTACCAAATATCAAAACAGAACATCAAAAACCCAGCATCACTGCCTTAAACCCTTTTTGGGAACAAGGCAGGACATAAATAAATATATAAGTAACATAAGTAATACAAAAAGGCCTGGATGGGTCTGGGAAACAGAGTCAATACCGGCACCCAGGATGCCAAAGCGGAATTCTCAGAGGCCATCGACACTGGCCCTGACCGCAGTCCCTGCCACATGTCCACAGCAGGCCAGGCCCACCACAGGACGCTAGCGGTTCAATGCCCAGGAGGTCTCCCCCGAGTGGGAACAGTCAGGACACTCCTGGCCCAGGCTGGGGGGACACTCCAGCTCACTCCCAGGGGTCCGTCGTGCCCTCCTCAGGGAGAGCTCTGGGGCCCGGTGGGCAGAGGCCTCCTCAAGTACCACCACGTTTCCCTGCTACAGTGGACGTTCGGGCCCCATGCCTCAGAAACACAATTTCCTAAAGTGTTCTGACAGAGTTACTCTTTCCTCTTTAGTATCCAATCCTGGCCAAGGAAAGGAAAGGGGGCTTTAGTAAAGTATCACTCGAACATTAGGAATGGCCTTAAGCAGCTATCTACACTGATTTCAGATTCATGTTTGGCAGCTATGAAGTTTCACACTACAGGCTGAACCTCACGGTTCTCTGGACTCCGAAAGCATCAGCCAAGTCTGGCTGAACCAACAACCAGACCTGGACTCTGCACGGGAAGGGTGGAGGCCCCGGGCCCACGCAGACTGGCCCAGAGCACAGCACATTCAAGGGGCCGAGCAGGAGCGCCCCTACTCCCTGGCACCCTCTCCTGCCTCATACTACCTCCTGGCCAGGTCGTGGGGAGACCCAACTACGAGAATCAACTCAGTCCATTCCTTTCAAAAGACCCCAGGAAAATGGTTCAATCCCCAGAACAAAGCCCAGCAACCGCTTCACCCAGCAGCAGACCCCGTACCACCCTGCGCCAGGCCCTCACCTCCCACAGCCCAGAGGTCGTGCCCACAAGTGTGTGACTTCTGCACCGGCACCATTCCCGGACGTGGCTTTCCAGAAGGTCCAGGGACAGAGGCACCCTCCCACCCGGGGCAGGAGTGGGGAGGCCCCACCCTAACACACCTCTGCAGAAAGCACCCAGTGGGGCAGACTCAGGGTGTGCCACGCATCTGTAACACGGCCCATCTGGAGAGAACCTGAGCCAAAGGGGCCGAAGCAGGGAGGCCCAGAGTTAGAAGAGCTGAACGGGAAGGTCAACTTACCACCCACTCTAAAACTCCTCTCTCAGCCCTACCGAAAAGGTGACCAGCCACTGCTTTCCCACCTCCAGGGACAGGAAGCCCCCGCCAGTGGCCCTGGAGGTGGCCCAGTCCACCCGTGGGCAGCTCCAACTTCCCTATATCCAGTGAGCCCTACCTCCCCACAGCTCCTGCCACAGCCTAAGCGTGGTCTCGGCCCCACCCAGACCGCCACAAAGAACACCCGAGTCCCTTCTCAGCTGAAGCGCTGGCAGCACTTGCTTCTGACCCTGAGGACCCTCATCAGCACCCACAACCCGCAGCTCACGGCCTCACTCTGACCAGCCCCCGCTCCGCGCAAGCCCCAGCGGCCAGGGGCCCAGGCCTTCAGCAGCAGCACACACGCCCAACCTCAGGCTCAGCCAGCCATGCCGCACTTCCGGTACGGCCACAGCTTGTGACAGGGTCACTGTAGCCCCACGGCACCTCCGGTGACTGCATCCTCCCTCTGAATCATCCAGGGCCTCTTCTCCCCTCAGACCTCATGCACGCACCTGCAGGTCACAGCCTGGCCTTCCGGCCAAGCCATCCAAGACACACAAGGTAGGGTTTAGAATCCTATCCTCAAGCTGCATTAGACAATGACAGACACTGCTTGTCTCCTTGGCTAAAACCTACAAAGCTGTTAGTAATTAAGTAAACCTGTATCCTTAATTCAATCATTACAAATTAGATAGCTCTTATGACAGAAAACCTAGGCACAGATTTGAAATCTGCCCATTCCTAAACACTTCTGAAGGTTAGAATCACGATTCCATCCAGTGGTCACCAGGAGTGGTTTCCTAGGAAACAGCATCACCTGGGGAGCTCTGAAGAGGCAGCCAATGGCCCACCTCTGCGGACACAGCCACGTACTGAGCCGCACAGCGTGGGCGTGGGTGAGCCCTGCCCACGGCCACAGACTCGGGGATGAGAACTCAGCTCGTCTCACCCCCAGCACCCCAGCAGGCCAGGGGAAGAATTCTGACCTGGCTGCTGCCCCCATGCTCAGGTTCTAGGAGCAACTACCAAGACATGAGGTCCAGTAAGGCAAAGAGCAATCAACCGCACGCTAGATGTTTTGTCCACTGGACACCAAGCAACAGAAAGCCTGGAGCCATCCCGAGGACATGCGAGTCCCCCGTCCGGGAGCGTGCAAGGACCAGAATGCAGCGCCGCAGGTGTCTCCTTCGGTTAGAACTGGCAGTGAATGCTGTGGGAGCGTCCTTGGTCCTAATGCAGGCAGTCATCTGACTGGCTAGTTCCTCGGTGTGGGCCTCCTAAAATCAATTCGTGTCTGGAAGCTCTTCCAAGGGAAAGGGCAGAGAGTTCACAAGACCTGCTGGCGTGATGCAGGTAGGTACAGGCACAGGTAGGTACGAGAACAGGTGCAGCGCTGCGGGAGGTCCTCCACTTAGACTCCGGCCAGATGCAGGCACTGACTGAGCTACCACAGCTGGTCCATGCAGCCAAGAAACCATCCTGGGAGGAAGGCAGTTAAGAGATGACACTGCCACGAGAGAACATGGGAGTGGTAGGGAAGAGTGAGTGTAGACAAATGCCACAGGTCACCCCCAGGAGCAGGGAAAACAGACTAGCAAGTTCGTGAACTGCATTTCTGTACTCTACCTTTTTTTTTTCTTTTTTTTTTTTTTTTTTTTTTTTTCTTTTCTACCAAAACTCTCTTTTCATTTAGGTATTAGAAGGCTTTAATCAAACAATGAACTTGAGAAGTAAAAATATAAACAGAAGCACAGTTCTGGAAAGTGCTAGGTGTCCTCCCCGCTGGAGCTATGAGCAGGCCAACTCAGACCATACGTACACACACCACAAGGCCCACTTCGTGAACATGCTACCATGAGAATCCAAAACAGAGATACTGAGGAAGGACAAAATGAAGTTTTGTATGGACTTTTCAGCTGACAACGACCCCAGGACTGTCCAATGCCCCGAGCACCTGAGATGGAATTACAATCCATGAGAAAAAGGCCACTTCTGCTTCACCAACAGCCAAATGGGATTCTGTCAGCAGCACAGACAGGATGTGGTTCACAAGGGCAAGAAGAGGTGTCAACTTTCACTGCAGATCACCTTCCTCCTCACTGCAAGCAACCGCCACGCTTGAATTCTACTCATAAAGCAGAAACTTTTTTATGGGGTCTGGCAGAGGCAGCAAGGGAATCAGATGGAGTCGGTATTTGCCAAGAGCTCTTCTCACGGCCACACGGCACAGACTCAGCAAGGTCCTGGGGACACCTGGAATGCCATGGGAAGAAAAGGAGACAGAGGGAGGGAGGTTAACCAAAGGCTCACTGAGATGGACAGACAGAACCACACTGAATGCCCGAGGCCAATTTCCCAATTTCACAGTGGAGAGAGCGGTGCCTGGGGAGGAAGGTCTTGTCGTCTGCTCCTCCCGTCTGCAGAAGGAGTTCGATCTTCACCTGCGGCACCTGCTCACCAGGACGGCACCACCTTGACCGGGTTTAATTTCCTAGACAGAAACAAGAGCTGACCGCTGAAGGCCCTGGCAGGTGTGAATGACGGACCCTCACCTCCTGTCAGCCTCTGCTCTTGTCAGTCCCAGAAACTCCAGGGGGATCCAGAAGAGACACACCGAGCTGTCTATGAGGAGAGCAGGCTGACAATTCTGCTCTGGGTCAGAACAGCCCGGCCGGGCCTCTGCCTTGTGAAGCAGGCATGACACAGGCAGCTTCTCTCAGCAGGACTCCAAGTGACCATTAACCAGCCCCTTTGGGGGAGGCTCAATGGGAACATGTCTTAATGACTGGCTTAGGAAACTCCAACAACAAAAACACAATAAACTCAAGTTCTGTGAGAGACAAGGGTTAGGGAAAGGTTTTCAACTCAGATGCCCTCGAGACCCAGACGAGGAGGAGGCCGGGTGCAGGCAGGTCACAGACGGCCCACAGCAGCCAGCAGGAGGCACACAAGGTCCACCTCTGAGCCCCAGAGAGGGCCTCGGACAAGAAGACCCAGCCCAGATCAACTGCAAACAACCTGGCCATCGATTGATTAATTCATTACCAAAATCTTCCTTCATAAATAAGCAAGCTATGGAGTTTATTCTAACAAAAACCAGAGGTATCACACAATAAACATAACAGTAATTTGAGTGGAACTGAAGAAAGGGAATGAGGACCCCTAGAGGAGGAAGGGCCTGCCACCTGTTGTCAGGCAACCATTTAAAAACCATGCATAAGTGAAGGGCTTTGGTAAAGAGACTATAATTCCAGGAACTTCCAAGGTGTACTTTTATATATTTCTTTGTATCGATTCTTGGTGTCTAGGAATTTGAAAAGACCACTCTGGAAGTATTCTGGAAATGGCCTAGCCCTAACTGCACATTCTAAGTGCTTCGTTGGAAGAGGTTTTTTTTTTAATCACTACAGCTCGATACATTCAACTGACCCACACAAGCCAGAAGGGAACTTAGGCCACTTACTTCTGGCCTCTTTAAAGACCTGCAGCGCCTCGGGGTCCACCTTCCTTCTGCCTCTTGACTCTGGGCCCAAGGATTCCCACTTCACCAGGTTCAGGTTGGCTCCAAACTCAACAAGCAGACTCACGAAGGCTGCCTCACAGCCATGACGCAGGACAGCATCCATGACACACCCGGGGGAGCCCCGGTAGAAGCCCTGCGTGTTGACGGGACCATTGCAGTTGAAGTCAGGGTTCGCCCCCGCCTGGAGAAGCAGCTTGAAGCACTGGAGGTTGTGGTAGGCCGCGCTGATATACAAGGGGCAGACCACCAGGGAGGTGAGGCGCCGGGAGAAAGGGGGCCGGATGTCAGGAGTCAGGTGGTGGTTGACGTCGACGTCAGCCCCATACCTACAGGGGAGACACAGGGACAGTGAGACCTCGCGGTGGAACTACCGAAGCCATCAGACCCCCACAGCACTGGAGACAGGCCTGACCTCTGTGAGCACTGGGACGCCACTGAGGAGGCACCACCAATCACAGCGGCCTCCTGACTTACAGAGCTGAGACCATTCCGAACGACTCGGAACCCACTCACAAACACTCATCAGGGAACTCTTCAGAGCCTCTCAAGAACAGACAATCTTATGGCTAGTCAAACTACTTCAAAACAATGAAAAAGGAAAATTTCCAAATTCATCTTATGAAATTAGCAGAACAATCCCAAAACCTGACAAAAGCCACACCATTAAAAAAAACAAAAACGAAAATACCCACCAACTAATTTCACTTGTGAGTATCAACTTAACCACCTTCGATAACCTGTTGGCAAAGCAAATCCAAAGTATAAACCACTATTTCATGCAGGTTATTCCAAGAATGCAAGGGTGGTTCCAATATTAGAAATTCTAAGACCCCTGTCCATCATATTCACAGAACTAAGGGGAAAATCATGATTACCCTTATAGATGGAAAAAAACGCGGCATGGGACAAAACCCAACACTAATGCAGGTTTATAAGTACTCAATAAAATAAGAAGTGATAGACATTTCCTTCACAAGATAAAACCCAGATGTTGGTGTCTCACCTAAGAGAGGAAGGGGTGGCTCTCCTATGGAGGCTGGGGCGAGCCATCTACACCCACTCTCCAGCCCATTCTTATTCAGGCATTTTAAAGATTTATTTATTTACTTGAGAGAGAGAGAGAGAGAGAGTGCACAGCTTGATCTCAAGACCCTGAGGATCATGACCTGAGCCGAAATCAAGAGTCAGACAACCAACCAACCGAGCCACTCAGGCACCCCTAATTCAGGCATTTTAAATAAGGGTATTAGTGCAATCCAACAAGAGAAAGCAATTAGCTGATGAAGATCATAAAGGAAAAAAAAAAAGCTTTCCCTATTTTCAGAGGATATGACTATGTCTGGAAAGCCCTGAGTAATTAATGAGAATACAATAAGCAATGAATTTATTAAATACTTTAGCAAAGTTACAAAACCAACAGACTTCATCCATACAAAAATAAGTTCAAATACAAAATGGAAAACACCTTACTTATGAAAGCAAAATAAATTTTAGAATGAGAGATCTAAGCATAAACTTAACAGTACATATCCAAAATTTGCATAAGGGAAGTTAAAAAATACTCCTAAAGTCAAACAAGTGGAACTCAGAAATGGGGAGCCCCACCGCTGCCTTGGAGAGGAGGGCTCAAAACTAGTAAGAGCTCAATTTTCCTGAAGTCTACTGTATAAGTGAAAATCCCATTCTTGGAGCTAAATAACTTGATTATAAATATAAGCAAAAGTAACATCTCTGCAATTCCAGAAGCTGATGATAAAGTTCATTTGGAAGATTGAAGAAGAAAAGATGTAAAAGCAAAGCTTTTTAACATGAAAATTAAACAAAGAAAAACCTGTGCATGGCAAACAGCAGCATAAGCAAAGTAAAGCAGTAAGTAGAAAAGTTGGGGGGCTGTTACAAGGGATTAATAGCCTTATCACAGAGAGAGCCAACAAAAGGGAATGATGGGGGTGGGGGCAGGCCGGGGTGGCACAGTCAGTTAAGCATCTGACTCCTGGTTTCAGCTCCGGTTGTGACCTCAGGGTTGTGATCCAAGGGTCGTGATCCTGCGATCGAGCCCCAAGCTGGGCTCTATGCTCTGCACCCAGTCTGCCTGAGACTCTCCTCTTCTTCTGCGCCTCCCCTCTGCTTGCTCACGTGCTCTCTCTCTCTCTCTCATATAAATAAGTAAATCTAAAAAAAAAAAAAGCTCAACTGCTCTACAGGAAAATGAGCTAGAGACGCTGACAGCCGCAAGCATCTCTCAGTCACCTGAAAAGATACTCAACCTCATCATAACACAAATGCATATTAAAACCACCTTTACACCTGAAACTAATGTAACATTTTACTTTTTTAATTAAAATTTTAAAAAAACTACCCTGAGATACTACTTCTCACCTATCACACTGGGGAAAATCAAAATTGTATTAACCAAGCTTTAAAGAAACAAGAAGTCTCATTCAGTTCTGGGGGCAATGCAAAATGGAACAATCCCACTAGCACTGGAACAATCCCACTAGCACCCACTAAATTTGGCAAGAACTGGGAAAACTACATATCCATTTACCCTCTGATCCACCAATCACACCCTTGGAATCTCTTCCCAAGTTGCATCTGCAAAATTCCAGAAAGATGCACGCACGCAGCAATTCATTAAAATGTTATATGTAACAGCTGAAGGCAAGAAACAACCCACAGGTCCCTCAAGAGGAGACTGGGTGAACAAACCGTGGCCCACCCACATAAAGCAGCACTGAACCGCCGTGAAAAGGTGTGAGGAGTGTCACCACTGCTCCAGAATGACCTCAGAACACACTCAGGCAGGACAAAGTGTGTACTATGCTACTGTTTATCGGAGAGAAAGTGGTTACAATACATTTGTGTTATCTGATACACACCTAGACATATGCATGTTATGCTTATTTTTTCAACAATGGAAGGATCAACTATGAAAGCTTAAAAATGGTCATCTACAGGGAAGCTGAAGGAGATTGACACAGAAGCTAGACCTCTTTTAATAGATATTGTTTTACAGACTTGACTTTGGAACCACACAAATAAGTCATAAAACAAATTAAATAAAAGGCAATCCCCAAAAACTAAAAGCAAAAAGAAAACCACTTTAGCCCAACTGTGTATCCAGATGGTGCCATGCAGTCCTGACTGCTGGGGGCCTCCTCTTTCTGGGTGTACTAAACCGCCAGACCCAGCGGCAGAGTCCCCTGGAAGGCCCTGAGACAGGAGGCACAGCTCGCCGGCCTCATGCTCACAGCTGTCCCCGCAATGATCCCTGCCCAGACGTGAGGAAATCATCTCTTAGGGGACAGGTTCGGGAGCTGCCTGACCTGCCAGCCGCATTCTTCAGCAGAGCCAATCTCTAAATGATTCTAAAAAGGCAGGGGCTTCGGGTCCCCACAAGGGACCTGCCCTTGTCCCTGACCTCAAGGGAGTCTAAATGTATGACTTACTATCAGGAGTTTGGAGTTCCTCCAGCCCAAGTGCAAACTACCAATCTCAGTCCCTTTCATCTAAGCAGAGGCCATGGACTCAAGCACGGAGGGTGGCCTGGCTCAGGGTATCAGAGTCCTTGCAAAGCCGAGAGTGTGCTTGTTAAAAATGCTGCCTGGCGTGGGGCGTGAGAGCCCACACTGGGTGAGGAGTCATGTGTGAGGCGGCAGCAACATCAGACTGGTTACAGATCAGGATTGGCAAAATAAATAAATGTGTTAAGGAGAAGGGGAACCAGGTCTCTGCGGGAAAAGCAAATAATAAAGTCAGAAACGGAGAAGTAGGATGTACCAGACTAGATTAGAAGTATCAGAGTGAACTCAACTGTCAACGTACATAGATACAGAAATATAGACAGAAACGTACATGTAACCTTAGCTCTGTCCAATTGGAGGCCCTGAAAACAGCAACAGCCCATAACCAAAAAACACTATCGGTACCCACGTCTTGGCCTCTAAGCACCACTCTCCACTAAAAGAAACCAGGATGCTTTGAAGAAATGACTCATTCCAGGCCTGACAGGCATAGTACTAGATGAGCCTAGACTATGTTGTTAAAAGAGAAAGTAAGAAACTGGTCAAAGGCTGCAGGGGACATGTCCTAAGAACAGAGCTAGGCTCCAGTTTAAAGACCCTGTCCAGCCAAATCGGAGACAATCTGAGCATCAAAATAAGTAATACTACTATGCGATTATAATTCCCTGGATAATAACAAAACTGTAAGTCTAACACAAATAAATTAAAAATCTGATGAGAAATACGATATATATGTGTTGCATGGTCCCTTGCCACAAAATACGAATTAAATAATTACAGAGGGGAAAAAGAGTAGCTTTACAGTGGAGAAACCCAACAGACACCACCTTAATCAAAAGATCACACTGACATCAGCAGTGATGGGCCCAAGGACAACCCTGTGCAACCGGAGAGGACGTAAAGAGCGCAGCCTTGCTCCTGGGAGAGCCCGGCCAGGCACGCATTATGGGCTCCCCTCTGAGTCACCACTAGACAGACGGCACCGGCTTCCCTGAGCTTCCATCATGCCACACAGCCCTCCAATGCTACCCAGGTTTCATTGGCACATGTTTCATGGAATTAGGAAATGCCAGCATGGAGAAGCAGAGAAGACGGGCAGGCAGGCAGACGCCTAGGGCACAGGAAACAGCCCCATTTTCCAGGCCATGCTTTAAATGGCCAGCCAGCAGTCCTATTCTCTGGCCTGTCTCTTCAACACATTTGGAGTGTACGAAGGAACCTCTCCTTGAAACCTACACTCCTGCTTGCAGGCCTGAGGAGGAGAAGGGAGGGGCACACAGACCAATGTGTTCCCAGACAGTCCTTTCCCCACTGAAGCCGCCATCAGACACCACAAACGTAAACCTCACCCAGCCTCCTAGACACTCCAGCAGGGACAGGAGAAACGCTCCACACCACACACCAAACCAAGCAGAACTGCCATTTCACTTCATACACTCAACCAATAAAGAAAGAGAGAACTAAATTTTAAGCAGTGATTTTTTTTTTCCTTCTCTTGTTAGGGATAGGTCTTCCAAAATGTTTGTAATTTTGGGCAATATGACAATCTGGTATTAGCTGGGCTATGGGAAAGACAGCCCTTCATCCACTCATAAAAATACGCTGGATAGAATCCAGTTAATTTTAATCCTGACTATTTTCCAAAATTCCCCTCCTGTTTTTAATATCTTTGGCAAGGAACCACTGGGACAACTCAGTGAATCAATATAAATTTTGCACATACAGAAACATCACTCCTTTACCTTTTTTAAAAAAATACCAGCAACATTTATCAAGGGAATTTACAAGTAACAAAATGGAATTCACTTGCAGAGAAACAGCAAATCACGGCATGACAGCAGAGAACCCTGCGTGTAAGAACAATGACCTAGGAAGGCAGCTGCTGACATCAGATTTAAGATTGTAGTATTTGCTCAGTAACTCAACCATATCTCTCTCATTTTCCAACAGTCACTAAGTCAGTTACCTGGTAATTTAAAAAAAAGAAACCTTTCTGACATGTGTTCTCGCTACCTCATTATAATAGTAACGTCCTAGCTCCATGAGGGAATGCAATGTCTTCGTAACGGTAACACTTTCTCAAATAGGGCATCTGTACATGCACTTCTCAAAGTCAAGCCTGCAGTTAATCCAAAGCAGTTGTGCATCATGAACTGAAAGGCCTTAAAGGGATTTCTGGAGCCAAGATGAAATTTCACTGATTGATCCTATTCAAAAATAGTTCCAAATTAATGACTTATATTCTCTAAGATGCAAAGATATGGGACTAAGATGGCTTAGATGATCAGGCTAAAAATTTTTAAAGAGAAGGGAAATATCATAATACCCTCATCTGTCTTGCCAAAAGCCAATCCCACAGTCATTTAAAAAATAAAAATAAAAAAACTTTTAATCAAAGTATATCCTCAGTACCTAATTCAAAAACCATGCACAGCCCTAGGCAAGGGGACGCCAGGTCTCTTGCTCCTCAGAACCATGCCCACTGCCACCTGTAACAACGGGACCCTCACCCAATCCTTTCCACACTGAAAATTGTCTACCTAAACTGTACTCTGTCCAACCACAAGAAATGCCTCCAGAGCAAAGCTGGGAAAAAAGCATCTTAGGTAGAAAGAAGTCATTGGAGACACGGAAAATGAAAATATAATCTGGTTCAAATTCTTTAAAAATGTAACAACTGGTACAACTAACATAAGGCCATAAACCATCTAAAATAACAGAAAGGGAAAGCAAACAAATACAGATCATGGAACAAAGATACAAAATAAAGAACAGTTAAGAAACCAAGAGAGAGGGCGCCTGGGTGGCTCAGTTGGTTAAGCGACTGCCTTCGGCTCAGGTCATGATCCTGGAGTCCTGGGATCGAGTCCCGCATCGGGCTCCCAGCTCCACAGGGAGTCTGCTTCTCCCTCTGACCTTCTCCTTGCTCATGCTCTCTCTCACTGTCTCTCTCTCTCTCAAATAAATAAATAAAATGTTTAAAAAAAAAAAAAAAAAGAAACCAAGAGAGAGACATAGACCTAACATCAGCTGTGGCAATTAGGTTAACTGTACTTAAAAAACAAAGAATCCTATACCGTCAAATAAGAAAGGTGAGCACCCAAAGAACTACTTAAGCCCACGAAGATTAAAAACTGAATGTGACAGAACATGGAAACGAGCCTTCAATGAGACCTACAGTTCCCTTTTGGTTTGATAGTGAGCATAACCGACAGGAAACAACTTTTAGCATCAAAACATAGGAAGCAAAAAACACTAGAAATAAAAGGGGGAAATGACAAATCACAACAGCAATTAGAGACTAACAGACTTCTCTGAACTTGGGGCAGAGCTGATGGCTAAAAATGGAAAAAAAGAGAGGGACCATGAGTAAGGCGACTGAGGCTACCACACTGCCTGCTGCAAATAAATACCCGTGGTCACATGCTTTGTTACAAAGCATCCACATCGTGTGACAGTAAAAAAAAAAAAAAATAAAAACTCAAAAGAAGCCCCATAATGCAAATTATTTGTTCCACATTACCTGAGCACGACAAGATAAAAGTAGTTCATAAAAATGTGCATTAAATTTTTCTCCTCCATAACCACAAGAACAAAGAGGAAATCAACTTCAATAATACCTAACTTAAATATGGGGGAAAAGCTTCGCAGGTAAGAACAAAGCTACAGGTGAAAGAAATAATAACCTTGAAAGTGGACACTCTGAGAAGAGTAATGAATAATCCATCCATCATTCAACTGAAAAAGGAGAAAAATAAAGTAAAATTAAGGAAAATGGGAAAAAAATAAACTAGAAATTAGTAAACAGAAAAAGAAGAGAACTGACAAGAGCGAAGAAGTAGCTCTTTAAAAGGACTAACAGACGGGGCACCTGGATGGCTCAGTGGGTTAAAGCCTCTGCCTTGGGCTCAGGTCATGATCTCACAGTCCTGGGATTGAGCCCCGCATCGGGCTCTCTGCTCAGCAGGGAACCTGCTTCCCTCTCACTCTCTGCCTACTTGTGATCTCTGTCTAATTAATTAATTAATTAATTAATTTTTAAAAAGACTAATAGACAATTCTTCCAACACATCTAACTTTCCAGAGAGAGGGGGGTAAATACAGACAACAGGGAAAGAGACGGCCGCCATGGGAGGTAGTGTCCACGGCGCCACATCCCCCACAAGGGCCCGAGCCAAGCAATGGTGGCCGGGTGTCCACAGCACTGACCTGATGAGGGCCTGCAGGAGGTCGGCCCGGCCCACACGCGAGGCATGGTACACAGGGGTGCTGCGGTGGTGCCGGCTGCCGTTGGGGTCAGCGCCAGCTTCCAGGAGGATCTGAGCGCTCTCCAGGTGTCCATTCACCACAGCCACGTACAGGGCGGTCTGTCCTTTCACGTCCACGAGATCCACCTCGGCCCCTTTCCGGATCAGGAAGTCCACACAGTTGCCATGGCCTGCGGTGGCCGCGATTCTCAGCGGCGTGCAGGGGAGCCAGCCACAGCACCAGACAGACTTTTCGTTGATGCGGCTGAGAAAGAGCACAGGGAAGCCAGGCTGTGGGGGCAGCTGGGAACCCCACACACCGCTCTGCTTCCTTGCAGACTGGTCCATGCCAGGAACAGAGCGCAGGAGGGCAACCTCTTCAGAGAGACACCGCGGTACTTCAAGAATGCCTCCGCATGTGCTGTTTTATGAAACGCTGGCTCCACGCGTGGGGCAGAGCAGAACTGCAGAGCCCATTCCACAGCGGAGGGCCCTGAGGCATAGGCAGACTGATGGGCCCAGAGCTCTCGACTCCAGCTCCACAAAGGATGGAAGGGTCTGCCCAGGGAGGCAGCGCAGGATGAACGGCAGACAGTCGCTGGCAATCTGCCAGGGTCCCGAGACCCCTTCTCACCAACCACTCACTGTGGTGGCCTAAGGTTGGCCTTGGCACCCTCACTGGGACCAGGTGACCCCTGTGGTCCCCCTACCTGTGGCATAGCACAAATGCCAGCCTGTGGGAACTGCTGAGGTCATGCAGCGCTCCACTCCCAGCCAATATCAGCTGAAGAAAATGGGCTATGCTCAGCCCTCATCAAAAGTGACCATCAGACTGGGACTCCCTGTCAAGGAATGCCACGGCCATGCAGCCCACTGACCCACGCTGTCACCAACTGAGACACAGTTCACCTCAAGCTCCCAGGGCAGCTGTGAACAAGCCTGGCCATCCAGCTCACAACAGAGTGACACAAAAGGACGCAGTGGGTCAGGGGCTCCTCCTCCAGCTGAGCCCTGGCTCCCACTAGCCCAGAAGACCGAAGTACTCATGGTCACAGTACAGAGCAACAAAAATCCATCAGCAAGAAACGGATTTACTAAAGCCAAATATACGAAGAAAGGTAAAAAAAGTACTTGGAAAAGCAATATGGAAAATACCTAGTTGCACTCTATTTTATTCTATTGTTTTTATTGTACTGTTGCATCTGCAAACTTAAGGCTTCCTTTGGGCGTGAGTCACCTGCATTAATTATTCATGAGGAATCCATCTGCCGTCTTTGTACGACAATTCCTTTCTGGATATTTAGAGCTTTTAAAAAAAAAAATACTGATATCTATTCTAATGAAATAATGCTAGGGCATCAGAAGTTAAAAATAAAGAAAGAAAGAAAGAAAAACCTATTCTTGAATTGTTAGGAATACCTCCCTTGAGAGCTATTCACAAAAAGCAGCATTAATTTCAATATTGACACGCAGACATTTCTTCCATCAATTCACTACCGTCTTAACCCCGAAGGGAAAAGAAACACAAAGCAGGAAGGAGTTTTGGGTGGCAGTCAGCTGCTAATCTAGCTAGGGCTCCAATCTCCAATCCACAAAGCAATCAGAGAACACCCAGAGGGAAGGCAGACTCTGTGCTCTGCCAGGGGTCCCTGGCGGGAAAAAAGGAGTATCAACACCCGCTGCTGTGAAGGAAGAGCCGGAGCCAGTGTGGAGGAGCAGGGAGGAGCAGGTGACTCTGGCAGGCAGCAGGCCGGGCACCACAGACACGGGGAAGACACTACAGACACTGCATATCCCTGGGTGACGAGACAGCTGGTCTGAGGCTGAGCACCAGGCCCGGGGAGGGCAGACACCTGGGGACCAGAGACACCAGAGGAGGGTACATCAGGAAGTCTGCACCCACAGCGGGGTAAGCACATGAAAACAACAAAGTTAGGGGAACTCACGTATACAGCTTAGGGTAAAGAGCCACAGGAGACTTGGAAGGAGGCAGGACCACTCTTGAAGAGAGTAACAGTGCTGCCATCAGGACTAATAGCAAGAAAGCTGACATCAGAGAGGGCCAGAAGTTTCCAGAAAATACCAAGGTCAATGACCGAGCTGGACGCGAATTCAGGTCTCCCTATCCTCACCACTGGCTATCTCCTACCAGTCTGACCATTCTCCCTCCGTCTCCTCCTCCACCCATCTTCACCTGCTCACCAGGGAGACACAGCGCCCTCACAGATCACACCCCTCAGCTTCCAGCAGCAGCGAGCCTGCCCCAGGACAGCGATGCTCACCTCCGGTAGCTCTCCTCCTGCAGCAGGCTCCTGAGGGTCTGCAGGTCCCCCACGTAGGCTGCATCATGGAGTCTCGTGTCCTCACAGTGCTCCAGCGGATGGTCACAAAACTGCTCCCTCAGCCACTCCTTCAAATTAGGACCTGCACTGAAGAGAGGGGCTCCTGTCAGCTAAGGGAAACCATGCTGACGCCAAACGGGGCAGGGGCGGGGGGCGGGGGGGTCCCTCTGCCTCGAGCCCTTTGTCTTCAGGCTGCAGGTCTAACTAACTAAGCTCAAACGTTCCAGAATAAACCATTCCCATCCTCCAGAAATGCCCAGAGCTGAGAAAAATACAGAATGTCTCCCTTAGTGAAACAAGCACATTCCTGACACCAAACCTGACAAGGGCGCTAATTTTTAAAACGCTGGTGGGACAGGAGGCAAGGAGTCAATCCTACTGAAGAATACGGAAGATCCTACATAAAATAGCAAGGTGCAACTTAAAATACATACCAAAAACCCACCACAATATTACTCTGTTTATCCCAAGGATGTAACAGTGTCTTGACATTGGGGGGAAACAAATAATCATCGCCTGTATGACAAGAAGCCACTTGCATCTGGCAAAATTCAACAGGCACACAAATGCTGCTGCTTGTAACATGAATGACTATAGTGACCCGACCTGGGCCATGACCCCACAGGAGTGGCCATGCACAACCCATGAGACAGTAACCTAAGATGGGTGTACTGTACTGAATGTAAGTTACACCTCAGTAAGAAGGAAAATGTTAAAATATATGCATATGAACAGAAAGCCAGCTTCACATAATGAAGACTATACAACTGGAAAACAGTAAAGTTAACTAGAGTCAACCGTACCATGTGCTTGGACAGGGTGAGTCAATGCTAGAAAAATTTTAAATGATAAGAAATAAATTAAGTGGTTTAACAAATCTCTTCGGGGTTTTTATGTGAGATGTGACAGAAATATGACAAAAGTCTATCTGGAAGGGCACCTGGGTGGCTCAGTCAGTTAAGCATCTGACTCTTGATCTCAGCTCAGGTCTTGATGTCAGAGTCCTGAGCCCAAGCCCCACTTTGGGCTCCATGCTGCGTGTGGAGCTTACTTGAAAAAAAAAGTTTATGTGGAAACATGACTGAAAAAAAATCACGTTTTTTAGTACATATGAGAAAAAAAGACCCAACCCATTAACAGAATGTATTATCTCTTATCAGAATAAAAAATAAAACAGAATCAGTTGCCCAAAAAAGACCTTAGTATAAAGATAAATGGGTATAAGGGGTGCTTGGGTGGCTCAGTGGGTTAAGCCTCTGCCTTCAGCTCAGGTCATGATCCCAGGATCCTGGGATAGAGCCCCTCATTGGGCTCTCTGCTCAGCGGGGAGCCTGCTTCCTCCTCTCTCTCTGGCTACCTCTCTGCCTACTTGTGATCTCTCTCTCTCTCTCTCTGTGTCAAATAAATAAATAAAATCTTTTAAAAAAAAAAAGATAAATGGATATCAAAATCTGAGGAATAGAAAGAGTAGTTGCTATAGACTGAATGTTTGTCTCCCCCAAAATGTACTGGAATCTTAAACTCCCCAAAGTGATGGTATTAAGAGGTAGTGACTGTGGTAAGTGATTGCACAGATCATGAGAGAAGAGCCTTCGTGAATGGGATTAGCGTCCATATAAGAGAGAACCCAGAGAGCTCCACACACCCTCCACAGGGTAGGACAAAGTAAGAACACTGCCCCCTCGAACCAGGAAGCAGGCCCCTGGCAGACAAAGAACATGCTGGGCCTTGGTCTTGGGACTTCCCAGCCTCCAGAGCTATGAAAATAAGTGGTCAACAGATCTGTAAAATCAGACCCCTGTTTACAAATTATCAAGTTCTTCCCCTCACACTGGAGCCCAGAAATCAAGAGTTCTGCGGACATCGTCACAGACAGGGGCCTAAGGAAAGAGCATGACCATGGACACCCAGCCTGTGACCAGGCACCGGTGGAAAGCACACCCCTCCACTGGGACTCCTCCCGATGATGAAGTTGCTTTTATATTCACATCAAATCTCTTAAATACCTATTGCAGACAAGGCCTGACCGTTGCCCTTCAGGACTCAACAGAACACTGGCAGGTGTTCACATACACACACACACACACACACACACACACACACACACACGGGTTACTTGAGCTGATCCCACATCCACGCCTGCAGCCAATCAACAGGCAGCCTCAAGGAACCCTCAGGGCAGCCTCCACCCTGATCTTCCTTCAGTTGTTCTCCTCCACAGCAGTTATCCCGCAGTTTCACCCGCCTGAGTGAAAAGGCTCAAAGCAGGGGCGAATAAGATTGAGGAAGTGTAGCGCCAGATGGACAGGTAAGTGGGAGCCACAGACATTTGTTAAGTTTTTCTCTGGGCCTCCCTCTGCCGGCCTCTTTTCAACCCACTCCCTGGCCCAGCTAGGCAGTTTCCTCTACACCCAGCTCCAGATCCAAGGACACTTCAAGTTAGCGTTTCTCTGATCAGCATCTCCACTGTCAACGCAATTACTCCACACAGGACTCAGACCTTACCTGGAAATCTGTGCCCCTCCACTCCCAGGCCTGCAACACTGTAAATAACGAAACAGTACTGCCCAGACAGGAGAGGTGCTGCATACTGGCCAGAGCAGCCTGTGTTCCACACGACTCCCCTCTGTACTGGGAAGCCGCCATCCATCCTCCTCTCATTCCATCTCTCTCTCACGTTCAAATGACATCCCAGACACTAAAGTCCTGATTCAAAGTATCAACCAAATTCTAGGAGAGAAGGGCCTTTGTCTGAACTGCCCTTGTTCATTGGGGTGTCCCCACCCCGGGAAAGGTCTGGTCCATAGCAGTTCCTCAAGGAAGGTCTGCTGAAAGCACGGATGGAGGGATGAAAAGCCAAGTCCCCAAGTGTCAACTCCTTGGAGGGGTAGCTGTGCAAACACCCAGAGGAACGTGTGAGGTCCAGAGCACAGAAAAGCACTGGGTACACAGGGCCAATTGAGCAGAGAGCACAGAGGAAATCCCACCACAGGTTAAGGAGGAACCTCCCCTGAACACAGCAAAGAACACACTTGGCCTGCAACTTCACATCTGCTTAGTAGTTGGGTCTCGGGGTGAACACCCTGCGTCTGATGGCTCTTCTGAGTGGTGAGCGTGAGCATTTCCAGCTGCCGGCTCTGCAGGTGGGCCACGGGCCCCTGGACATGCTGTGTCACGGACAGCTCGCTGAGGGTGCTGTTATCGCTGTCCCTTGCCTGTGCGTGTGCGGTAGCAGCCCAGTCAAGCCGTGGGTGGCGGCGCGGAGAAAAGACACCTGCCGTCCCGAGAGACCGGCCTCTGGGGGCTTCCCAGACCCCTGCACTCAGAGCTGGATGACAACCCGTGTCCTGTTCTTAGGGTCCTATCACATCCCCACCGGCTCACAGACCGGCAGTTAGAAAGCAAGTTCCCAGCGCGACGATGTGCCCGCGAGGCCGAGGAGCGGGCACACGCAGCAGCCGGGCCGCCCCGTCCCGCGTGCTGCGCTGACCCGACCCCGGCGGCAGGGTGCGGCTCCGTGGGCCTGGCCCTCCGGGGACGGGAAGGCACAGCCCCGGCCCACACGCAGCCACCGGAGCCCCTCGGCCAGGGCGCTGGCCCCTGTCCTCTGCCGCCCCGCCCCCCCGCGGCCCGGCGGCTACACGCACGTTACCTGCGGGCCCCGGCCCGGCCCGCCCATGGGGGCCGCCGCCCTCCGCCATGGGTGCCCCGGACTCGCCCGGTCCGTGGCCGTGGCCCTGGCCCTGGCCCGAGCGCACCCCGCCGACCGGAAGCAGAGCGGCAGCGACCACTTCCGGCGCCGAGGGCAGGTGGGCCGCGTCAGGGGCGCGGCTTCCGACGGGCGCGCCCCTCCCTCAAGGGCTTACGGGGCTCTGCGAAGGGAGCCAGCGCCTCCGCCTCCGGGCTCCAGTCGGAACGTGAGACCCAGAGAGGGGGGGCGCGCGCTGCCGGGAGGCGCGCCGTCTCGGGGGCGCGCGCCGGCAGCGCGGTGATTTCTCTGCGGGAGTGGAGGAGTCTGGGAAAACACGCTCACCTGGGAGGCGGAGCCTAACTCATCCCCGGGAGCTCTGGGTGGCCGAACCCGTCCCAGCCCCCGCGAGGGAGGCGTGGCCTTGTACCTCGCGGTTGTGGGCGGGGCTGCGGGCGAGTCGCGCGGTGGTTTGGGACCGTACCCGGTCCCGCGCCGGGCGTAGTTCGCGGTTCAGGTGATCCCTGCGCTCCTCTTTGGGTTGGAGCAGCCCCGCGAGCGCGTGGATGCGAAGGTGCCGGACGTCCAGCCCTAGTCACCGCAGCAGGTTGTACGGGCTGGGCGCCGCTGCGGTGAGCGTATATCTACGTACTTGAGAGAGGAGTGCGTTCCCGGAATCCCTTCCATGAGGGGGGCCTCGTCTATGAAATACTACCCAGTGCCTCACACTAAGCATTTATTGAATAAATTGAGGAACAAAGCAATGCACCTTCCTGCACTCTCGCGCTTAAACGTTGTCAAACGGTGTGTATAGAGTTTGCATTCTTGAGCGCGATTCCCTTGGCTGCAGAGCTAGCCGGCCCTGCGAGGGTGTTTGATGCGGGAAGAGGGCTTCCTGCAATGCGTTCGCACTCGATAAGGGCAGAGAGCACCCCTGTCAGAGGCTTGGGGGTGACGCCCTCTGTGCCACAGGGCAGGGAGCCAGGGGCGTGCCCAGCCCACCGGCCCTCCACCACAGCTGCCACGGGGAACACCCGGGAGCTTCCAAAACACCCCAGCATGAAAACAAGCCAAGTGTCCGTCAGCGGTGCAATCGGTAAACAGAGTGTGGTCTGGTAAACAGAGTGTGGTCTGGCCATCGTGGAATGATACTCAGCCTTCAAAAGGAACGGGCATCGGGTGGCTCAGTTCCTTAAGTGTCTGACTTCAGTTAGGGTCGTGACCTCAGGGTCCTGGGATGGAGCCCCTCATTGGCCTCCCTGCTCAGTGGGGAGTCTGCTTGTGCCTCTCACTCTGCCCTCCGCCTGCTTATGCTCTCATGCTCGCTCTCTCTCTAATAAATAAAATCTTTAAAAAAAAAAAAAAGAGGAAGAATATTCTGACACCTTCTACAACATGGATGAACCTTGAGGACATCATGTTAAGTGAAATAAGCCCGTCACAACAGGACAAATACTGTATGATGTGACTTATATGCGGCACCTGGAGGAGTCAAATTCATAGAGACAGAAGATAGTGTGGGTGCCTGGGCTGGGGAAGGGGAGAACGGGGAGCTGTTTAAAGGACGCAGAGTTTCAGTCAGAGAAGATGATAAAGTTCAGGAGATTGACCAATGTACAACAATGTGAAGGTACTTAACACTTAATTGTACACTTTTAAAAGGTTAAAATTATAAATAATAAAATAAAAAGGTTAAAGGAGTAAAGTTTATTATGTGTATCTTACAACAATTGAAAAATAAATAAATGAAGGAAGGAAGCAAGCTAGCAAGCTTGGCCCCGCCCCACACCCACTGCGGAGGTCCTGACACAGCTGGTCTGGGGTGTGGCCTGGGAGCCCTGTCCCATGGGCTTCTGCTGTGCTGGCATCAGTGCCTTTGCACTGAGGGGTACATGGCCTGAGCAGAGGATCACTCTGTGCTGAAGCCTGGCCCTGAGGTTGCCCTCAGAATGCTGTTTCTTCGTAAGAAAGATCAGAGGCCCCACTTGTATGCATAGCCTCCCACCCTCCTCCAAAATGCCTGCCAATGGGGACCAATGCTGTCTATACTGGATGTGGCACTAACCCTCCTCCACGAGCCTGAGGTTAAGAGGCTGGTGCTGTGCCCGAAACACACAGACACCCCCTAGTCTCTCCTTTTAACACCCATGTTAAAGATCTCACAGCAGGGATCTGCTGTGCCCTCACCACAGGGAGGGGGAGAGTCCCTGGCGTGGAAATCTCAGCCCTTATGCCTGAGTCGTGGGGGCAGGTAGTGACTCACAGCAGAAGCGGCAGACTCTTAGGGAACGACTCACCTGCTCCCAGGAGACCAACCTTACGGCTTTGCCCCAGACTCAGCGGGTTCCCGAACATAGGACTCCCAGTTTTAAAACCAGAGTGGGTTGAGAACCTTCCCCCCACCCCTCAGATTGTTCCCAACCAGCCTGCCTCCCACTGCTTCCCTCCCTCCCCACCAAGTTAATATTTCCTGCTGAGCCACTCGCTGAGATCAGCCTCTGTCCCCTGGGGCTGACAATTCCTAAGCAATCCTCGGAAGTCCCACATGTTCCTTAGCTGGACACGTGGAACCCTTCATACACACGCTCCAACGTCCTTCCTCCTGCAGCTCCCAAGACACATCCAGAACCTGGGGTCTGCCCACAGCAGGTCCTCCTGTCCCCACATAAGCAGCCCAGGGGGCCATGTCCCTCCGGCTCCCCAGATGCCTCCCCGTCCCACCCACTAGGCAGCTGACACCTGGGCTCTCTGCCAGCCTCCGCCCGCACATGGCCACGTCTATCTCTCCCCACCTGAGCTTACAGCCCCGCACAGCTGACACTATCTCTGCCAGCAGACCCGTGCGTTCCTAGAAAGCTGCCTCTGGTCAGATGGGTACTTTGACTCTCTCTCAGGACTTGTTATTGAAAAGATGGATAAAGCCATTTATCAGCCAGAACTGACAGGGTGCCTTGTCGAGGTGCTGTGCCTGGACCCTCGGGCAGGCGTGAGCCCACCCGAACCCTGTCCACAGAACCCATGGCCCAAGGCAGCAGGGGGCATGGTGGCTCCCCAGGAGGACAAGTCCACCCCTTAACCCCTGAAACATGTGATCGTGATCTTGTTGGGAAAGGGGTCTTTTTTTTTAAGATTGTATTTATTTATTTGACAGAGATCACAAGTAGGCCGAGAGAGAGAGGAGGAAGCAGGCTCCCCGCTGAGCAGAGAGCCTGATGTGGGGCTCGATCCCAGGACCCTAGGATCATGACCTGAACCAAAGGCAGAGGCTTTAACCCGCTGAGCCACCCAGGCGCCCAAGGGGTCTTTTTTTTTTTTTTTTTTAAGATTTTATATATTTGACAGAGAGAGACACAGCAAGAGAGGGAACACAAGCATTGGGAGAGGGAGAGGGAGAAGCAGGCTCCCTGTTCAGGAGGGGGGCTTGATCCTGGGACCCCGGGACCATGATCCGAGCTGAAGGCAGACACCCAATGACTGAGCCACCCAGGTGCCCCTGGGAAAGGGGTCTTGCAGATGTGATTATAATGTAATGATTTCAGGCACCCTGGACTCAGGCCCTAAATCCAAAGACAGGTGTGCTGATAAGAGAAAGGCATGATTTGAGACTGAGACACCTAAGGAGAAGCCACGTGAGGCAGAGACTGGAGGATGAGGCCCCAGCTAGGGGAGTCAGGGGCCATCGGGACCAGGAAGAGACTGGAAGGACGTGCAGAACCCAGCAGGGCACACACTTCGATCAGTCCCAGACCTCTGCCCCCTAAAGCGTGCGAGAATACATTTCTGTGTTTAAGCCAAGTGCACGGTAACTTTGGGGGCAGCCACAAGAAACGCATTCACCCAGGCATGGAGCCAGAATCACAGAGCACCAGCTGAGCCAGGGCTGGGAACGGGGGTGGGGGGCATGGAGTCAGAGAAGGGTGTGAAGTTCACCACAAAGAGACAGGAAGCGTCGGAGCCCAGGGGACAGACAGTTGGATGGTCAGCAAAGGCCACTCCCCGGACCACGGAGGAGAGACTGACAGAACCCGTCCCCATGTCGCAGGGAAGTCGTCAGGGCACAATGATGGTATCCGGTTTGGAAAGGGGCACGCTGTCTGCTGTGTGCGGGGAGAAGAGAAGGAAAGGATGCTGACTCCGAGGAGACCCAGGGTGACCCCCTGCCCCCCACACCAGCCGAGGGGGGGCCCAGAGGACAAGAAACACCCACCTCCCAGCGGCATCAGGCACGTGAAGGTTACATTTGTTCCTGTGGGGCCAGACCCACAGAAGCTGGTTTCAGTCAAAAAGAGTCTTCAGGGGCACCTGGGGGGCTCAGTTGGTGAAGTGTCTGCCTTCGGCTCGGGTCATGATCTCAGGGTCCTGGGATGGAGCCCCTCATTGGGCTCCCTGCTCAGGGGGGAGCCTGGTTCTCCCTCTCCCTCTGCCTCTGAGGTTCCCCCTGCTTGTTCTCTCTCTTGCTCCCTCTCTCTGAAAATAAATTTTTTAAAAATCTTTAAATAAAAAGTCTTCAGTTTGGTTCAGGGACAGAAAGACAGGCCGCCCTGGACCCGGAAGCTTCTCTTGACTCTTGCGCTGTCTCTTTCACCCTGCTCCGGTACATGTGTCTCTCTGTCTCTGCCTCCGCCTGCCTCTGAGGCACCGTGTCTTTTTCTCTGTGTCTCCCACTCCCTGTCTCTCCTCATCGATGACTGGTGAACAAGAACTCAGCAGCTTCCAAGGACAGTGATCACGTGTCCTCTCCCAGGGACTATGGACGGGGCCCAGCAGGAAAGGCTTGTCTGTGCCTCAGGACAGCTGAGTTCGGGGGCTGGCCCACAGGCTGGGGCGGTCAGTCAGGGCACCACATGCGGCCTCCCTGCAAGCTGGGGTTCCTCACAACGTGGCAGCTGGCTTCCCGGCGAGTGTCTGAGAGAGGGAGAGGGCCAGGTGGGAGCCACTGCGCTCCAGTGGCTAGAGAAGTCCCCCAGTTCTGCGGCTCAAGGGGTGCACGGAGCTTGCCCACCTCTCAGTCAGGA